AGAGTGGCTATGGTCAGGTCATGGGGTCTGCAGTTTTGGAACTTTGGAACTGTCGAACTTTCACTGCGAGCTTATGGCGGCCCGCTATTTCTCGATCAGCCGGCCGGCCGGCCAAGAACCATGGCGTCGGCCGGCCAAAAGCTACAGCGTCGGCCGGCCGGCCGGCGGGCCAATCACGAAAGCTAGCGAAGCTAGCTGGAGTTACTCTTGCGATAGCAAGGTTTCTTTCGACCGGGTGCAAATCCTAACCCCTGATTTTTCAGGTCTCCCCACCTCCCCTCTCCTCCTCCTTGTCTTCCTCCCATCTTCCCTCCCTCCCTCCCTCCTCCCTCTTCGCAAGTTCGACTCCGTCCTGTCGTCGCTCTTTGGCATGCGGTTAGCGTTGCGTATCTTGCGGCCGCACTCGCTCACTCTCTCTCTCTCACTGTCTCACTGTCTCTCTCATCTCTCTCATCTCTCTCATCTCTTTCTCATCTCTCTCATCTCTCTCTCCTCTCTCTCTCTCTCTCTCCTCTCTGTCTCTCGTCTTTCCGTCTCTCTTCTCTCTCTTCTCTCGCAGGAGGATCCGGGCAAAGAGCCACATATAATTTATATTCATATAAAGGACTCCTCACCCCTGCCTCCAAAAAGAGCGCCGTGTTTTTTCCTACCTCGCTGCCCTCCACTTTCCCATTCTGGAGCGCTAGCTTTCGCCCCCCCTTGGCCTCAAGTAACCACAGTCAGCCGACCGACAAGCTGATACTACTACTATCTACTACTACTACTACTACTACTAGGACGACGACGACGACGACGACTACTACTACTGACTACTACTACTACTACTACTACTACTACCGCCACTAATACTTCTACTTCAAGTACTACTAAGACTACAACAACTACTACTGCTACTACTACTACTACTCCTCCTCTACTTTTCTTCGGCCGGCCGGCCGGTCCCGGTCCAGACCGGCCAGCCGGCCGATCCCGGTGCGGGCTGGCCGGCCGGCCACAGTTTCTGCCGCCGAGTCAACCCCCACTACTACTTCTACTACTTCTACTACTACTGCTGCTGCTACTGCTACTACTACTACTACCACTACTTCCACTACTTCTACTACTACTACTACCACTACTACTACTACTACTGCTACTGCCACTACTACTACTACTACCACCACTACGATTACTACTACTACTACTACTACTCCTGCTACTACTACTACTACTACTACTAAGAGTACTACGACGACGACTACTACTACTGCTACTTCCACTTCTATTTCTACTTCAACTACAACAACTACTAAGGCTACCACCACTCCTCCTGCTACTACTACGACCACACCACCACCACTACCACTACTACTACTACTGCTACTACGACGACGACTACTACTACTACGACTACTTCTGCTACTACTACTACTACCACTTCTGCTACTACTACTACTGCTACTGCTACTGCTACTACTACTACTACTACCACTACCACTACTACTACTACTACTACTACTACGACTACGACTACGACTACGACTACTACTTTACTAATACTACTTTACTACTACTTTACTACTACTACTGCTCCTACTACTACTACGACGACGACTACTACTACTACTTTTTTTTACTTTACTACTTGACTAGTTTACCACTACCACCACCACCACCACCACTACTACTACTTGGCCGGCCGCCGCGAAATAGTAGGCCAGTTTGCCCACGCTGTCCTTTGGTGCTTTTAAGAGGGGGGGACATTCTCTCAAACACAAAAAGACAAAATTTCACAAACTGCACAAACCCCATGGCTTGACCTCAGCCACTCTGGGGACATAGATCTGCGCAGCTTTGGTCCTTTGGTACGTTGGTTTTCACTCTAAAACCAACATACCAAAATAGCCCTGGCCTGAGCCACTTTGGAGACATAGGGGTGTGCAGTTTTGGTTACCCACAATACCGTAATATCAAAACTGCAGAGCCCATAAATTTATGCCGTTGTTTTGCTTTAATCTTTTCGTAATTGGTTTGATTTTAAAAAACCAAGTATGCTTAAAATGAACCTAGTTTGTCTTTTGTTTTCTACAATAATTGTTGTAAAATAGGCATAGTGACATGTTTGTTCATAGTTTGTTCTAGTTTGACCTCAAACGGTTTTTACATATGCTTGTTTGAATTTTAGTTGAACTATTTTTAACTTGCTTGAATTGTTTACATTGTTTGAAATCTAAAACCTAATCCAATTTTAATCAGGTGGGTTAGTACGCACTTCCAATTTGCTTCTGGAGAGTGCTTGCTGTTTTTAAAACTAAAGCGTTGTATATATTTTACGTGTTGCTTTCTTAAAGGTAGTTTTCTTAAAACCACACCCCCAGCAAAACCGCCTCTCTAGAATAAAGTCAAACTTAAATGAGAATTCAAGTTGCATTGAAATAGAACTTGGCATTGAACTATAGACGAATTAAAAACTGAAATAGAAGTAATGAAGAAATGTGAACACATAATTAAACTAGGTTTGTAAACAACTGCAAGTGAATTGTTGCATAAGATTTAAACTAGCGGAAACGACAAGTTAATTACAAAATATGTTGAACTATCAACCATATTTAAAAATGACATGCAACCCTGTAAATTAGAAGCAACTTCGAGATTGGTTAAAAGCAAATTATATTTATTTTGTTCGATTTGGAATTATATCAAAATTGAATTTAAAAATTCATTGTTTCATGTAGAATTGGAAAAGAATTAAGGTATAACTAAAATAGAACTGCTTAACCTGCAGCTCAATTAGAAAGAAGTCAGTTACTGTGATCATGAATTAGGATTAGACTTGCGTGAGAACCAAAAACTAAATGACATTTACAATTGTACTAAATTAGAATTGAATGCAAAATTCAATTAAGCTGAATAAAACAGATCAAAATCGAGATTGAAACTAAACTTCAGTTAGAAACCAAAAGATTCCTTTTTGAAGTCAATCAGGTTCATTTTGGAATTTGCAATTAAAAATGTTGAATCAAGTTAGGCTTAAATAGTAAGTACATTAAAGTTCAACAGATTTATCATCAAAGGCTTTTTTTTTGAACGCCTATCAATTCGTGTTTAACTGTTTGGTTCGGCATCAAATGATGTTTTGTGTTTTTATTGTGACTTTTGGTTATGAAATCCAAAAGCCAAAAAGCTCGTCTTTGTGTTTTTGCAGGATTATTGTACTAGAATAGTGCCAAAAACCAAAAAAAATCAGACGGTGTATGGGTTTTAACTATTGCTTTTTGTTTTGCCCATAGCAAAATCATCAACAACAAAAACTTGTCTTTGGTTGTAGCCAGCATTCTTTAATTATAAACCGTGAGCAAACCAAAATCACAATGGTTTTTGGTTTTTGTATTTCAACACAAAAAACAATGAAAACAAAAAACATCGTTTTGGGCTGAGCCAAACATTCTCTTCAATGTCTTCTTTGGTTGTTTTGGTTTGTTGTTTTGTTGCTGGTTGTCGTTGTAAAGTGCATTGTTCCCCACCTGTCAGGTGAGGGTTGTTAGATTTTATGTCAGCCCCATTTCCTCCTTCTTCTCCTTCTCCTTCTCCTCCTTCCCCTTCTCCTCCCCCGCCTCCTCGGCCGAACCTCAACCACGACCATCCACACCCAGTGTTCCCTGCCGGGCCTCAACCACGACCATCCACGCCCAGTGTTCCCTGCCAGACCTCAACCACGACCTTCCACGCCCAGTGTTCCCTGCCGGACCTCAAGCACGATCATCCACGCCCAGTGTTCCTGCCGGGCCTCAACCACAGCACACAACCACAAACACACAATTAAAAACTCAACAACAAACACACAACCCCAAACACATAACCACAAACACACAACCACAAACACAAACAGAAACACACAATCACAAACACACAATCACAAACACATAACTACAAACACAACCACGAACACACAACCACAAACACAACCACAAGCACAACCAGAAACACACGATCACACAAACACAATCACAAACGCACAACTACAAACACAACCACAAACACACATCCACAAACACACAACAACAAACACACAACAACAAACTCACAACCACAAACACACAACCACAAACACACGACCACAAACACACGACCACAAACACACTACCACACACACAACCACAGCACACAACCACAAACACAGCAACAAACACACAATCACAATCGCACAACCACAAACACACAACAACAAACGCACAACCACAAACACAACCACAAACACACAACCACAAAGACACAACCACAAACACACAACCACAACCACAAACACACAACCACAAACACATCCACAAACACAGAACCACAAAGACACAACCACAAACACACAACTACAAACATACAATCACAAACACACAACCACAAACACAGCCACACACAAAACCACAAACACACAACCACAGCACACAACCACAAACACACAACAACAAACACACAACCACAAACACACAACCACAAACGCACGACCACAAACACACGACCACAAACACACAACCACAAACACACAACCACAACACACAACCAAAAACACAACAACAAACGGACAATCACAAACGCACAACAACAAACACAGAACAACAAACACGCAACCACAAATGCACAGCCACAAACACACAACCACAAACACACAACCACAATTACACCACCACAAACACGCAACCACAAACACAACCACAAACACAAACACAACCACAAACACACAACCACAACCACAAACACACAACCACAAACACA